GCCGCTGACTCATCCCGGCTTCTCGCTCCGCGCCGCTCCTGCCGGTTATAAATAACTCCTCATTCATCGCCGTAGTAACTGAGTAGCTTACGCCGCGCTCTCGAGGGTTGCTCCTCCAGCGGGTGCGGGGCTCCTGCGTCGCCTTCTGCCGTTCCTCCCGCTCAACTAAGAAGTTGAGGGAATTTAAAACCTTAACAGGAGAGCTGAGTTTTTCATGATTTGATATTGTGGTAAGATGGTGTAAAGCTGGAAAGGATTGAGACACTTGATAGTGGATAACTCATACAGGTCTTGTTTTCCTTCCTAGAAGAAAAATCAAGCCATTTGCCCAGAATGTTCACTTAGTTACATTTCCTTCTAAGGTCAACTAAAACCACTGCCCAGATAAAAGGCTATCCTATTTTCCGGTATTTCTATCCATTAAGTCCCACTAGAGGATCAGTAATGGATGCAGTATTGATTCATTCCAGTAGAACTGACATGTTTGAACTCAGGGGTTCTCAGTTTATTAAAAACAATCTCTTAGTCATACTGTCATATACTGTTGGAAAAGTACTCTGAAGAATTTCTCCACTGACTTGATCACAATTGGGTGCTTTGGAAAGTCCTACCTGGTATGTGAAGTGTTCTCAGAGGCAAAGTGCTGCGAAGTTAAACTAGCCCACACATGCAACTCTCAACTGAAATCTTTAAACCAAGCCTCCTGGTAGGCTGCAGAGCGCTGGAATATTTTCCATCTTGTTGACAGGGTGTGGTTTTGTAGACCTGCAACTCCTTGAAATTGGGTGCATCTGGATAAAAGAGCACACTCTAAATGTAAGGCTGTAGATCAGAGTGAACTGGGAGTGGTTACCTGTTGCGGAGCTTAATACGAGGAGGGTAACCGAAACCTGTGAAGGTATCAGTGGCATGCTGCCCTAAAAAATGGGACTTAGTGGTGGCCTTACCTGTAAAAAGGCAGCAGTTTGGGACTGCTGTTGTTTCTGAATCTGCACCTTTAGTGTAGTAGGAATGGGTATTGATATTGATCACCTGTTTTGTTTATAAACGTGCAGCAAAATACTTTGTAAGGCTACAGCTTTAAATGCAGAAGGCAGGTTTCAGACGTGCAACAGTCAGGTAGATGTGCAAGAGATTTTAATAGCAGCTATGGAACTGTTCTTATGAGCAGCATCATGATGCTGTTGCATTTTGGCTTTTGAACGATTCGTGGGAATCATGGCTTGATGTCTGGTAGGATTTTGCGGGTGTGGACTGAAACACAGGAGAGCCTGATTGCTGGGGGATGATGTTCTCTGTGTTGGTGGGCGGGCTTGTGTTGCCCGTTAGCTAAGGTATAACCCTTCTGTGGATTAGGATGTGGCAGAGCGCATACAGAAATGTCAGTCTGACTGGAGCTCCTCTTCTCAGGTCAGTTGAGCAGCTCAGCCCACATGAAACAAGTGACAGCAGGCTCAAAGGAGTAACAGGCTCAGTAAGCTTCGACAGGTGTAGCCTTTTATTCCCTCAAGGATGCAGGAATTGAGAAAGGTGATCTGTTTATGTTTGGTTTTTTTTTTGGTAGGGAGTAATTGGTAATAATTTTGAAAGCTTTTTAGCTTTTTAAAAGGCAATATTCTTGCAGCGAATCTGTAACACCAGAAGTAACCCTCTTGCCCTTGCTTTGAGGCTTATGTAGTCTGTATAATGCCTTATTTCCTCTGCTCCATTATATCTCCCATACGAGCCTTTGTCTTACTCTTTTAAGCAGTTTCTGGGCTCTCTTTCTGTTTTGCTCCTGTAGTGGAAAGCTCTGCTTCCTCTGATCTGGTTTCTCAAGCTGCATGTCCTTTTTTCATCCCACTCATTCCTGAAAAATGGCCTTTTCAGAGATATTTACATTATCTGAGTCAATATTTCTCTGCTTCTTTTTGTAAACAAAAGCAGTCATACACAATTCAGAATGAGTAATTCAGTTGTTGTGCTTTGGGCTTCTCTCAAAGGAAGACCGGTGATTCTGAAGTGTATTTCCAGTCTGATGTTCTTTTATGTGAAGGTAAAGATATTTCTTTCTTTCAGGTTCTTAAGTCTTCCTTTTAATTTCAGTATAAAGCTACCTCTCAGAATGTATAGACCAAAGTGATTACTTTTTTTCATCCAAAGCTTTTCTTCTTCTTTTTGTTCCCAGGGAAGCATTAACCACTATTTAAATAAGCTGTGATCTGATTCTCTCTCTCTGACTTTTATCTCCTCACTCCAGAGGTGCTGAGCTAAGCAGGCTGAAATTTTCACGTGTTAGTCCTCACAGTTGCACATAGGTGACTGTGCTGATACGGGGTCTCATGTTTGTTTTGATCAACTTTTTTTCTTTCATTTTTTGTCTTGATTTGGAATTATATTTTGAAGAGTAACCTTTGTTATATATTCAGGTTTGTTCTTTGATCCACAGCATAGTGTCTGGATGTGTCTGGAGCATGTATCGGACAGATTCTTTCAGGACAGATCAGTGCTGGTGTCTGGAAAGGCTCCCATTCACTGGGTGGGCGTTGCCAGAAGCTTGTTGGTTTCAGGACTGTGAATCTCTACTGGACAAACCAGGATGGAAATGTGCTGAGGAGCTTTTGCTTTTTGTTTGTGAATGGTGTCTTTCATGCCTGGTGATGTGAACATGTGATGTGGTTATGTCATCTGGGGATATAGTCTGAAGAGCAGGTCTGTTGTTAAGTGATCCCAAAGTCTTCTAGGCAGTCATTTTCTCCAGATCTCCCTGCTTTATGCAAGTCAGTTTGTGGAAGCGGCTGAAGGGTAGCTGTGCATTGTGCAAAAGCTGTGCTTATCACTCTGCTGGAATTTCTCAGGTTTATGAAGCATGATATGCTGACTGTAGAGCACTCTGGGATGGAAGAGACAGCAGAAATATAGGACTTACTACGCCAGTGTTAAGGGTATGAGTGTTGACTTGAAGTTTTGACATTGGTTCCTTCCTGTATAAATCACTACTGTGGTTCAAGCTGTAGCAAATACTCACCTGAATCTCTATGGTAAAGGATTTCAGGCATTTTGAAATACGTGGCAAGAGGCAAGACTTCCAGAGTATAGTCTTCATGAAAGAGTTCTCTTTTTAATACTGAATGAATTTGAAAACTAGAGTCGCTAAAGATTAAAGAAAGAATGCTTAGCCAATTTTACACCAACTCTTTTCCTTTTGCAGCTTTTAGTTTGATGGATAAATTTCCCTTTGCCAGGCTGCCTACCCACACAGTAACCACAGCACTGTTCCTGCTCTGTTTATCCTCTGCAACCAGTTGTACTGCTATTAATCTGAATTCCTTTCAAGGGAGGAGGGGGGTTTAAAGTTAGCCCAGACACCTTGCATAGCTAGACAAGTCAATGCTTTTCTTTTGCTTCCTCTGTTTATTATTATGATTATTTTTTATCTTGAAGCTTCATCTGCATTGTGCTTTGGTTTGGGAACACAGTTCTTGTAGTTTCAAGGCATTTCCAGTAGAATCAGGAACCTTCTTGAGATGTTCCAACCTCTGTTTCTTGTATATAGCATTTTTCTCAGTCTGACTGCTTTAAATTTTAAACTTGATTTAAATTTTTCTTCTAAGTGTAACTGCAGTCTCACACTAGTAAATTGGCTCACCCCTTCAGTATCTGTTAAGTAGCTGTCCTGTGGCGTGAACTTTTTTGTATGTCATTCATTTAGACACCCATCTCTATGGCCAAGAATGGGATACTACTTGTTTGGGGATGACTCTGAAGTGATGGAGAACTATAATTTTGAGAATTTATCTTAAAGACCTAGATTTTATTATTTGATTTGTCAAGCTGATAGTATGTTAGAAGTAGTTACCCAGATTGTTCCTAATATAAAGAGCTAAAACATGTTGATTAATCTGAAATTTCCTTTCAGTCTGTTTGTTGTATGGCTTTTCCCTGACTTCCATGTTGCTTTCTGAGTCTGGGTTTTTTTTTTTTTTTTTTTTTTTTAACTTTTATGGCTCTTTTTAATTTCTCTGTATCGTAGTTTTTTTCTGCTGTTCTTATTTGGATGTTTGAAAAAAGTGACAAAACAATTAGACCGAAACAGGGCAGTTCTTTGACCAGATGTTGCTGTTAGGTGTGGATTTCTGGTTTGTAAGTATTAACTTCTGGGTGAGAAATCCAGGACACAAACCCATCTGTTCTTCCAGTCCCTACAATGAATGTGGAATTTCCTTTCTTGAGCATATGTTTTCCATTGCTGTGGGAACAGTAAAATGAATTAGAGGCAATTGTGGTCACTTTTTCTGCATTAGAATTTTTAAGCATCATAATAGTGAATGTGAGAAAGCAGATAATTGCAGAAATACTCATCAGAGGCTTAGGGGAAGAGAGACCCCTCAGACCCTGTTTTTTAACCTCAAATCATAGTTAACTAAGTCTCTAGAATCTGTCAAAACCCCTTTGCAGGAATATATGTGTATTTTTGTGTGTGCTAGAGTTGGGAGGCATTATGAGGTGGACACGTGGCGAGGAACTGTTCAGTTTGCTTTAATGTGAGAGTATGTCTGGCAGGCAGGACTGAGAAATGCCACCACTGGCAGCAGGCAGGCGGGGCACTGGGCTGGGGGGCAGTTGGTTTGACTTTGCATGGTTCTTAATAAAATAAGAATGCATAGGATATTAGGGCAAAAACCTGGATATTACTTCATGATTGTTACATAATTTCTCGTTATGTATGAGCTCGTGACCTGTTGCAGCCTTATAAAAAACCAAGCCAACCACTCAATTCTTTCCGTGCAATCTTCCTCAGTTACCCACGGAGAACCCGACGTGCCCCATAAGAGCACTGCCACACTGCAAGCCAACCCGATGGCGTCCTCTACTGCCGTGCCTGTAGGATTTCACTATGAAACAAAATATGTAGTTCTCAGCTACCTGGGACTTTTAGCACAAGAGAAGCCGCAGGAGCATCCTCCTCCTTCAACTCAAGGTAATATTTGCATATTCAGCTGTACCCATTTACATACGCAACTGTATTTGCAATTAGTGCAATTAGTTCTTGAGCTGTTTGTGTGTGGATGTGGAACGTTGGCACGATGTTTGGTGTAATTCATCTCTTACTTTGTTTAGAATAATGGGAAGAGATGCTGATGGAAACAAAGCTGTTTGTCATTAAATTACTGTTTGAATTTGAGCTATGCCAGGGCCAACCATCGTTGTTTCTGAAGCAAATAAGCAGTTTTAGTAGCTGTCTTGAGGTTAGGAGGGATGATTATAGATTAACTTTGTTGAGTCATCTTGAAAATTTGAGCCCATGCTTGCTTGCTTTGGGAGGCAAGTGGAGGTAAGCAGGGGTGAGTTGATGCTCACCAGCATAAACTCCTGAGCGATGACTTGAGCCATCTCATGTGCAAAATAGTTTTGCCCTATTATGTCAGTGCTTCTGTTGCTGTCAGTCAGTGGTAGTGCAGGGATTTGAGGCTTAACCTGGCCTGTGCCGCATCTGTTTGTTTATTTTCAAGAAGTCAGGGGCTGCATGGTGTCCAATACTGGAGTCAGAAGTTTCTTCCAGAACAGGTTTATGCATATAGGAGTTTAAATAAATAAATAGGAGGCAGAATGAAAAAAAAGTTTGATAGATTGTGTTTTACATAAACCTAAGTAGTAAAACTTCATTGATTTAGTGGTGGCAAGCACTTCAACAATGTTGTTTGTCAGGGTTGTTTTGGTGACATGTTAAGGATGTTTCAGTAACTACTAGTTCCTGTGATTCAGAACTTACTCTGATGAAAGGCATATTAAAAGAAACAACCAAAGACAGTTGTCAGAGTCTTTATTTTACAAGTACTTAAGAACGCATACTCTTTTACTGAATTTACCTGTCATGAAGTGAGAATCTCCTGAAAAGAAAAGATGGCATCAAATTTACGACAGAAATTATTTGAACCGGTTTAGCATTAAAGCATATAGCATGTGCCAGTTCTATTTTATATAGTTTATAAAATTATCAATCTTAGTGTATTTAGGGTATGTCTGTTACTTCCACTTTGACTGCATCTATAGTCTGTGAAAGGAGAAGCACCTTAGTGCCAACATGCTGTTTCATAAAACCCTTGGTTGGAAAATATGCTTAAATGTGCTTATTTTAGCTATAATGTCTCATTTGTAATACCCCATCTGAGGTAACTGAGCTATAACTGGAAATGTATTGAGTACATATAAAGCTGCAATGTGGAAGAGTCTGCTTTGTTCTGTAAATGAAAGATTCAGAAAGGAAATTGGTACTCCTAAAGCTTTTTTTTTTTTTTTTAATAATTTGTCTGTAGTTACCTTTGAAATATTTGCAAATTGAAGGGCAATCTTTCAACTGATTATTACTGACATTTCCAAGAAATATTTGAATTAAAGAGCAGTATTAAAAATATATAAAAAGGAAGCTACAAAAGCTTAAATAAAATTTTTGTAGTCAGTTAAGAGGATTTTTAAGCTCCTGAGTAAAGATAACTGTTGAGTCTACTTTTCAGATATTATATAGATTTGTTTGTGACACATCAGGCTGTAGTTAGATTTGCTCTTAAAATACTCTGAAGCCTTGATACTTTGCTAATCTGTTCTTTCATCCTTGTTGCTTTAAACCTTCCCTTCTAAACGGGAAATTCTCCCACCCTTGCTCCCAAAACCAGATGGTGACCATAACTTGTCCTCTCCTGGTGATCTTTCACTGTAATTAAATGCCTCTTTCAGTGTTTTTATGGTTTTCTGATCTAAGCCTCTGGAAAAAAACAATTTTCCCTTACTTTTTAATCTGCCATGTTGTTTCGCAGTCTGATTTGTGATGCCTTGGGTGGACTTCAGGCTGTTACTGAACTGAGTGCAAATACTTTATCCTTCTGCTTCAGGATTTGTTTTCTTTCATTACTCACTTTTCCTAGCACTTTTCTACTTTCTGTGCTTCCAGCAGCTTTCATTTGTCTGGCAGATACTTTTCAAAAATCCTTTCTCATACTTCTTCTCTTGTTGCTTGTGACTGAACATTTGTTTCAGCTGCAATCCAGGGGTACCTGAGATAACAGCCATGTGTTTATTTTGAAGAACTGTGTGCATCTTCTTTGAATATTACATAGTTTATCTGTAAGGTGTGTATCTCCTTGTTGTCTGACACGTGGCTGATGTCTGCTCATGCAGAGCTGTGCAGAGCTCTCTGCTCTGTGCTCTTCCCGAGGGAGGCGCTGAGAGGAGCAGCAGCCCATAATGGATGTTACCTGCCCTGCCTCATGTGCTGCTGGAAGGTGGCTGGGTGTTACAGTAACAGCGTGCTCTGAGAAATCTGGTCAGAGCAAACGAGGTGTGAAAGCCAGGAAATGGAAAGGCGTGGTTGTGGTGTACAGTCCCATCATGTTTCTGAAAACAATGAGTGGATTTTGGTAACAAAGACACAGAAGGGATAATAATGTTACAGTGTTACGTCATGCTTTTCAGTGTGTTTCTTCAAGCACTGTTGTCAGCTGTTGATATGTTGTCTTGAATTATCCCAGGCTCCTTTCATTCACGACTTTTGTGGTACTTCCAAATGCTAGGTAGTAGTCTTTCCACTGTCTGTGGCTGGATGCTGCTGATTTGTGATCTGAGAGGATTCTGATACAAACCACCTGTCACTAAATCTTATTTTGCTTTAATTTGGTTGTTGTGCTGACAGACATTTCATGGGAAACAACTGAAGCAGTGATGTTTGGCTATTGCTTGTTTCTATTTTAGTGCAGAACACTTATCTGTTTTATGTGTTTCATTCATATGAGGTATTGACTGTGTTCTATGGTATATGCCCTTCATATGTTTTTTTCTTAGATCCAAGTAAGTCCTTACTCTGTCTAATTGCTGCTTCATGTTACAGTATGGGAGGAGTATCTAGAAAGGCTAGTTTTAGGTTGCCTTCATAATGTTAACATCTTTTGCCTCCATCAGAGAGTGAGGGACTCCTCTAGAGGGCAGTTCAGAGCAGAATCCTTATTACAGCCACCTTATACCACCCGCTGGAGGATCTTCTCTTTCCATTGCATGTGTATGGAACGTGGGTAAGTAAGGCACCCTAGGTTTAGTTAGTTTTTCTGTACCTCCTGGGAGTCTCCCTCTACAGCAGTCTCCCAACGTTCCAGTTAAACGAGAGGATTTATCTGATTGATAAAAAAAAAACAGCCAAAAAAGCCATCTTTTCTAACAGGAATGGTGGTGCTGTTTGATCTCTGCTAGAATCGATAGGAGAAATTGAATGCTTTTGTCCATTCCTCTCACTTTTATGGTGTAGTCATCTTCCACTAACCTCTGCTTTCCTGCATTTTGTACTAGAGAGTTCTTTTTCTGAGGTGTGGCTTTTTGTTCCAAAAACTCAGATAAGAGTAAATCTTTGAGATATTTGTTAGATTTCAATTTTAAAACCCATTTTTTGCAGACGTAATATGCTTGATGAGACCAATGATTTTCAGAAGGGTTTTATTTAGTGAAAGTTCAGACAAATTACATAGAAAATTACCTCACTGTATTTCATTTTGGGTCTCCTGTTTGGTCTTGATCTTGTTGCAAGAAAGTTGGCTTCAATTACAAAAGCTAAAACCACTTTTGGCTTCAAGTAAAGAAGGCTAATCTAAGTCAACATCTGACTACTACTGAGAAATTTGTATTTGGAAAGCTTCAAGGACTGAAGAGAGAATGGTCTGCAGTATTCCAGGCTGGTGAAGAAAACACAGTTTTATTGGACAAGCCAGTCTTTTAACATTACAGCTCTATATTATTCTGTGGTGGATTTCAGTGTCTCCAAGGGAGAATTCAGCAAACCTGACTGGGCAATAGTCTGAGAGATCATTCCCATTACAGTTTTGCCAGAATAGATTCCACCTAACAGTCACTTCAGTTTACTTAAAGCAAAGTCTGTTAGCAGTAAACTTTGTTACTTTTTGGTAGGCTTTCAGGTAAGAGAATAATACAAATTTCTTGGAAAAATCTGATAAAACACACGATAAGATACCGTCTGCATAAGTTCATGTGGTTTGAGGCAACAGATGAGTTGTTAGAAGCACAAAGCAGGAGAAGACTGCAAAGCTCCATGTTGCGGATAAAGGTCTGGTGACAGAACAGACGCTGAGGCGGGGTGAAGGTCTGGTGCAGCTCTGATGGCACCCAGGAGGAACGGGGAGCAGTCGAAGGCTGGGTGGCCTTGCTCTTCTGCTTTCCCCACTCTCCTGCTCATTGCAGCAGTTATCTGCTTCTCCCAGAAGTTACCAAGAAAGCTAAAAATGTTTTGTGCCACTGCTAAAGGCTGACCACAAGGAAAAAAAATGGCTTGACCACAGCCCAACCCACGCACTTGCACAATAGTAGATAAAGTGGACCTAACTTGGGGATGAGAATTCGACACCAAATCGTAGGGGCAGATTGACAGGTTTGTCCTGCCCACATTCCCAGAAAGGACCCCTTTTGTTCGGATTTGTGACCTCAGCTACACCGAGTACTTTCCTGGGAAATCAAGCTTGTGCTTGCAACTGAATTTTAGATCTATACAGCTCACCTGCAGCTCAGTGCGTTTATCGCCGGCAGTCCTAAAGAATAAGATTCTCTGTGTGTTGCATGTGACTAAACCGTGCTGGTTGTGCACCCGACGGCTGCTGTTGAGTGTGACCAGAGCTACAGCAACAGGCTGGTTGTGCATCTGGTGTCGGACCTGTGGTCGCAGCAACAACTGGAATAACTATCAGGAGCTGAGTCCAGCCACCCCTAGCCCCTCTGATCTCTGAGGACCAGCTAGAACACAAAGAGATCAGTCTCTTACAGAATTTATCCATCACTACATGCAACACGAGTACAATTGTTGAAAATGTATGGAAGCTCTCAGTTACCTGTTCATTAGATTGTGGAGAAATGCTTTAGCATTTTTTTTCAGAAGTCTTTTAGTATCTGTAACTACTGGTTCATACACAGAAAATAAATACCAAGTATTGG